TCTGGCGTGACAACCAGATTCCCCGTCTTGTCCTGCAAGGGCCCCACATTTCCTGGGGCCTTCTTTCTACTCCCTATGTATTTAAAAAAGGACTTCTTGTTGTCCTTAATCCGGGAAGCCAGCCCCTGTTCCATCTCTGCCTTGGCCTTCCTAACCATCCCCCTACATCCCCGAGCAACTGCAGAATAGTCCTCCTTAGTGATGACCCCTCCTTTCCATTGGGATGACCCCTCCTTTCCATTGTGGTAGCATTAAACAGAAAATAGTGACACAACAGTGTGATAATTCAGATAAGGCCATCTGCAATGTCTGTTAATGTCAGTACGAGTCCTCCATTGACTCTATTGGCTATTGGGTCATGGAAATAGATCTCAGTTAGAGTGGTATGGAATAAGACCGTCATATTTATAAAGCAAATCATGAATCTGCAATTGTATGCATTGACAGGGAGTTTGTCTACCGTTGCCTGAGAATTGTCTTTTCCCCAGGTTCACTCAAATGGTGGCATCACAAGCAAATCGTAAGACCTTCATTGACTCCGTGATTGCGTACCTTCGCAAATTTGGGTTTGATGGGATCGACTTGGATTTTGAATACCCAGGTTCCCGAGGCAGCCCCCCTGAAGACAAGCATCGCTTCACCATCTTGATTGAAGTGAGGAACAAATGGGCTCTCTCAGTTACTTTTTTTTAATGGAATATAGACAGATAATCACGGAGCTGTACATCAGTTGTTCTTGCTCTAGTGCTGCATGACCATGCTGCTTGTCTATCTTTAGTGCCAGGAGACCAGCAGTTGTAGAAATAAAATATCAGGATTTGTTTAAGACATCTGGTTTAAGGGCTTTGGGCTACCCAGCCATGGAAGCAAAAATCAGGAGATTACTGAGCTTGTGAAAAAGAGGCGGTAGATGAAATGTTTCCACATAGATACTTACCGCTGGACAGGAACAACTTTATAACTGGAGTGACTAATACCATGCTCTCTTATCAGGAAATGCTGGAAGCCTTCACAGCTGAAGCTGCAAGTGCCAACAAGCCACGTCTATTGATTACAGCAGCAGTATCTGCTGGGAAAGCAACTATTGATGCTGGCTATGAGATTGCTGAGATAGGGGGGTAAGTAGCCTGTTGCCACATTGAGTATAGTATGTTATTGGCTGGGTGCTCTGCTGCCTTGACCCTTGTGCCATGAATTACACCTGAGGAGCATGAGTGTGTGCCTAAACCTCCGTCTATAGTACTCACACTCCCATTGCACAGATAACTGCATGAGGCACAAAACGATAGGGATTCAGATTCGTTATCTAAGGGCATTGTTGGATGATTCATTGTGTGTTGACTGTCCAGATGGCAGTGCCTTTCCTCATCACTGCTTTTGCTCAAATTATACCAGGCTCCTGGATTTCATCAGCGTGATGACCTATGACTTCCATGGAGGCTGGGATTCAGTCACAGGCCACAACAGCCCCTTGTATCAAGGCTTTGGGGACCAGGGTGACTTCAAGTTTTTCAATTGCGTAAGGAAATTAACAGTAAACTCCACTATCTTCCCCAAGAAGATCATGAGATGATGAGCAATGAGTGTAAGTGTCTTTCCTTTTGTCTCTCTGCAGAAATATGCCATGGAGTACTGGAAGAACAATGGCGCCCCAGCTGAGAAGCTCGTCATGGGTTTCCCCACCTATGGGCGCACCTTCAGGATCGGTGGCCAGGACCATTGTGTTGGAGCTCCAGCATCTGGGGCAGGCTCTTCTGGGCCCTATACCCGGGAAGCTGGCTTTTGGGCATATTATGAGGTAGGAAATGTGAAGAAATTAGACTTTTGTGGACCAGGTCTTGAAGTGGTGTAAACTTGGGCTGCAAAAGCTGGGTAGACAGGTTGACTCCAGGCTGCCATGGTGACTCTAATAACAGGATTTTAGGATAGTTAGTTTAAAAGAAGCTCAAGCATGCCTATACAAGCTTCAGCCTATTGTTTAGATGCACACTCTGATCCCTTTACTCTGTATATGAAAATCAGGCCTGTTGACTCTAATAGAACTGTCCAGCTTAAACCTTACCGCATTAGCAGATGCCTTAGTAATTCACTTGTGACTGATCTCTTTTTCGTTTAGCAAGTTGGTTGCTGGGTATCTATCTCTTGCCTAAGATTTTGTTTCATCTATAATGTGAGAGAGTTATCTTCCCACTCATGCTAGTGGTATGCTGTTATAGGGCTACTGGGTTATATCTTCACAACTGGAGGAGTTGCATTCAGCTCCTGTCTTGAAGGGAAAGTAAGGCAAAGATGACTATACAGCAGTACTTTATGCTTCTTTCCGAATTACTGAGTCCAAAGCAGTTTCTGATGCAAATTAGTGCAGGTCTGCTCTTCTTTGCTTCTGTGGAGATCAGTGAGCAGTTCTCCAAGGCAGGGGACTGATAAGAGTATAGCAGTGACCTGGCCATATCCCGTCCTGTTGGCAGTACACCTGACTGCTGGGTTTATGAGGTGGGTAGGTCTAGATGTCCGTTACTAGTGTCAGGGTTAATTATGCTGCCAGATTGGCACAATGAAGGTTAAATAGGACAGGAGACCTGTTCCTTTGACTTGGCATTCTGGCTCCTGAAGGAGGGCCAGTGCATCTAACGCAATGCTGTTTTGTCAGATTTGCACCTTCCTGAAGACTGCTCAAGTACGTTGGATGTGTGACCAGAAAGTCCCATGTGCCTATAAAGATAACGAGTGGGTTGGATTTGACAATCTCTGCAGCTACCGACACAAAGTAAGGCTTTAATATTCTAAAGTGACCTGTATGTTTACTGCTTCTGCAACTGCAAAACACTTGGCTTATAACCCATGCATCTTAGTTCCTCTTGTTAAAATGTGGACACATACCGTATTTATTTGCATACCACATGCCCCCAAATAAGGTTTTACACCTTGTTTGTTCCCTAAAGAGTTAATGATTTCAGTACTTGGGTTGAAATTCTTGGAGAACACAGATGAGAGCTGTCTTGAGTAGTTTTATGATGTTTGTGGTAGGTCCAATACTTGAAGGATAACAATTTTGGAGGAGCCATGGTCTGGGCAATTGACTTGGATGATTTCCTGGGCACTTTCTGCAATGAAGGAAAATATCCTCTGATAAGCGAGCTGAAGAGACTCCTTGAAATGAATGGTAAGAAGACGGGAGTAAGGATTCCTGGGCAATCTAGTTACAAAATTGTACATGGCTAAAACCCAGGACTGGGTGTGGGAGAGGAGAGGAAAATGAGGAGAGCCTTGACATGTTTTAGTCCCAATAGGTGAATAGTGAAGACACACTCACTTAGGTCTTAAGCCTCCTGTCACCTAGGGTGGGTTTGGACCTGCATAATCTTTGACTTCTCGAACCACCCCACCAGGTCACAGGTTAGGTATGGTCTACTACCATTTCCAACCATTCTTTTTGACCTTGGCCCTTGGGCAGCCAAGACAGGGAGATGCATGTATCCAGAAGGAAGAGAGTATTTTAAAGGAGGTGTAGCTCAGGGAGATGGATGGATGCTGCTTTGAAAGAGAAGGAGTCCTGGGCTTTAGCATGGACCCAGTGGGACAGAATCTTCCCTGCTGCTTTTTCATTCAGTTTATTCAGTGACTATGAAATGCAAGGCACAACAGTTCAGCCCGAAGAGGAGGGCTCTTCCTTGTTTCTCCAGGACTTATGGTCAAGTTCACATAACTGTACCTACCCAGACTCTGCCTAGTCTACTGCACATGCTCAGTAGCCATGTAGACAGTTAGACATCCACTTTGCACAGGTAACAGAATCACAAGCTGCCCCTATGTACCAAGAATGCTACTTACACAGCTTGAAAATGGTCATTTGGGGCATTGAGTGAAACAGGAGCCTGCCCTCAGATAGCCACAGGAGAATATGAATGTGGTTAAGATATGTCTGAACATGTGATTTTAGAGCCAATTAATCTGAACTGCCATAAAGACATCCCTGATGATGACTGCGGTTCATGTGGCACTGCTCCTCCTGGTCCAACTGACCCAACTGATCCTCCTTCACCTGCAACAAAACCTCCACCGCCTACACCTGAGACACCGCCAGTCGATTCTGGTGATAAGACATTTTGCAGTGATAAACAAGATGGCATGTATGCTGACCCTGAAGATCGGGCATCCTTCTACCAATGTGCTGCAGGCACTGCTTACCACTTCACCTGTGCAGCTAGCCTGGTCTATGACGAGAGCTGCAAGTGCTGCAACTATCCCTAATATTAACACCAGCCCCCAAGTTGCAACGTTGGTAACCTCATGAGTCCCTCTGGAATCCCCCTGTCTTTATAAATAAAGCCAGCAGGCAGGGATAGACCATTATATGTGTGTTGTCTTTCTTCTGTGTGATACTTGATTAGTGACCCTGTTTTAATAGCAACAGAAAGAGTCTATTTTCCATAGTGTCTTCTCTGCTGTTGCATCACAAAAAGTATACACCACACTCTCAACCTAGGCAAAATCTGGCATCGTCGGGCACTTTCCAAGGTGTAAGCTTCATCTAGGGTATGTGTTTGATTCATGTCATATTGGTACTTACACAGCTGTATGGAAGCTCTCACAGCTGTTGATACTGGTATAAGTATTGCTCTTTAGCTACTGTAATTTTGTAGGCCTCATCCTTAGGGTTGGATTTATTTCCCTTTCTAACTGGTGTGAGACCACATTGGGGAGGTGTAGTCCATAGCTCTAACTTTCTTCCAAGAACAAATCACTGCAGCTAGATTCATTGAGTTGGAGCACATCTCATGATGGGTGAATTTAACTTTCTCAAAGACACCTGAAACCTCCCAGACATAAAAGAGACAGCTGGGCTTTGGTTCTCATTTACAAAGATTTGAATTGTATGTAACTTCACAGGGAAAGTATCAATGAGAAGAACGATAGTAGGAGTGACACGGGTACACAACTATAAAGCAGTGGGAGATCAGTCACGTCTACCAGGGTTCTTTAAACATCTCTCAGCAAAAAAGTGATACTTGCTTTCTAATGATATAGACTTTGGGGTAAGGCATTTTTTAATCATTAAAAAAAAAAAATTTACAAAATGACATTTTTGTGCCAGCCACCTCTATTTTTCAAACATGATCACTAGATATAATAATCAGATTACTCTATGTAGCTGCTCAGAGGTGTGAATCTTCAATGCCAGTCTTTTAAAAAAGAAACACCTCTTCAACCTATTTATCCTGTTGATCCAGTTACTTAATGAAACATGGGGAAATATAAGCTTGACAGGTTAGTATGGGCTTGATCAGTCCAGCACAAAGCCTATGCACATCTTAAATCTAGCATACATAGCATTGAACACCCTCTTTCCAGTTCTGACATTACTTTCTGACAAGTGTGTAGGTTTATACGCTATTTTAGCTGCTGGGACTTAAATTGAGTGATGCACAGCATCTGTTGTGGCTCTCTGTTTAGCAGCAAGTTTTCTCCAAAGGTTTATTTCCTTGTATATCAAATGCCATCGAATACCTGCAGGGGCATGGATGGAAGGAAAAATTAGGTGAATACAGAGGCATGCACACATCTTGCAGGTTCAGTGTAGAGCGTGGTTCTGACAAGATGTCCCCTTTTAGCACTGCAAGAAAATATAACTATTTAAAGTGTGATTTTTTTTTAAACACTTGTTGAGCACATACAGAGAGCTGATATATAAAACATGCTTATGCTACACCCTTTGTCTCTCCTGTAGCAGGGCCCACTCACAGACCGAATTTAATGCACATTAGCAAAAGTGCATTAATGAATGTGTAGATGCGCCCACTGCGTATTAAACAGTTATTACTTGGTCTGAGGTTGATTAAGCATAAACAATCTCTATTTCAGTTAATTCCTAATGCAGTCTCTTTTCCTTTGTTGGCTTGGCAATTTTGCTGCAGTTGCGGCTGGTTAAGAATATCTCATCTCTTTTTTCATTCACGTATAGCTGATCAATCTTCAGGACAATAAACCTTTGTTACATGACAGAAAAGGTGAGGAAAGCCTAAAGGAAATAAAGAACGAATAGGAGAAATTGCTGGATCCAAACTTCAGCTGGTGAAAACCAGTTTAGCTCTGTTAATCTCAGTAAGCAGGTTTCATGGTTTAATCCAGTTATTCCTCTTTGTTCTTTACTTCTTCCTTTCTGTCTTCCCTACCTTTCACTCACTGCAACAAATGATTGGTGAGTTGAAGAATGGACTAATATCTTTCTGGAGATTCTGTATTGGAGAGGCATAGGGAGCTGTAGTACTGGTATCTTCTTCTTTAGGGCTGACCCATGGCTATGTCTACTGCTTGTGCTGAGATTTTGTCTCTAATAGTGGTAAGCAAGATTATCCTTTGTGCACACCCTAATTGTCCTGGTCTAGAGCAGATATTTCATTTCAAGCTGTTCTTTGTGGGAAGGGAATGCCCTGACCTTGGGCAATACCTAGAAAAAACAGTGTCCTGAATTGTTTGTCACTGGGAAGATTGGGGGTGGGAAGGTGCTTGAACAGGATAGGTGACTGACTTACAGGTATTAGTGCCACCCGAGCGAATGCTAGTACCAGTGCAGCATTGCATAAGCAGAATTCATGAGTAAGCCTCCATTTGTGCTGAGAATTGGTGCATCTGTATGTGTGAAAGAAGAAGTTGGATTTTCCTCCTTTATACTTTTGAAGCTTGGTTCCAGTGAAATTATTGCTACCAACACTGGTGAGAGAAGAATCAGTTTTCTGATTGCACTCTCATCAATGACCCTTGAGACCGCCACTTGGAACGAGGCAGGCATTTTCTTTCCTAACTGGCTCTGATTTGCTTGTCTCCTTCCAGAACCTGGCTACAAACGTGTGTGCTGCTTCAGTAACCGGGCTCAGTACAGGCCAGAACCTGCTGAATTCTTCCCAAACAATGTGGACCCCAATCTATGCACCCACTTGACCTATGCCTTGCAACAATGAATGAAAATCACATTGGAGCCTATGAATGGAATGGCAAACACAGACACTATCCAGAAATTCAAGCATTGAAGAAAAGGTCGGTTCCTCCCAATGGACAAAATCTAAAACAAATACTCATTATGTCAGAAGAAACTGAAGCAGCATTCTTTTCTATCAAGCATGATGCAAGGATGGGAGGCATATAATAAAGCATTCCTTTGCTACAGAACAAGAATTGCATAGTATATATTATATAGTCATACTCACATTAAAGGGCTCCATTTTTCAACCTGATGAGATTTCACTCATAAAAGTAATCATGTTTTATTTAGTGGGGTACTCATGTACGTATGCATCAGTGTCAGTCAAAGCTACAGGTCTATCATACACTGCATTTAACCCCCTTTTTTACATTATAATAGGCTGGATATTTTACATTCCTTGAAGCTGGACATAGGCAGACAAGGTTCTTTGGGTAAATCTGATATCTTTTATTAGACCAACTCAGATAGTTGGAAAAATTCATCTTAGCAAGCTTTCAGGTTTAAATACCCTTTGTCAGGCTGAGGAAGCATCTGCAGTTGGTGTGTGCACTTTCAATGCTGGATGATCCATTGTGTGTTGACTGACTAGTCCAGATCGCTGTCCTATTTGTCATCATTATTTTTCCTGAATTTAAACCAACCAATGCACTGCTCTTCATCTCTCAACTAAGTGCTTCATTCAAAGGAAGGGGATTACAGCACTTCTTGCCTCCCACAGAGTTGTGAGGTCTAATGAATGTTTTGACACCCTTGAGATTCTTGCAACGAATGCTACTCAGATTCTTTTTGTTATTCTTCAAACAGGGCTCACTGCAGACCATGGCTCTATTCTTCGTTTGGGGTGGCATCCTTGCAATGCATCCTATCTCTATATGTCGGGGAGAAACTTGCACTGAAAGATATGGAACAGGAACCCAATGGGAAAAACCTGTTAGAGTTAGAAGTGCAATAGTCCAAGAAAAGCTTCACAAATATGCCAAGTGCTGGTTATAGATGCTTCTATTTGATAAGAGATGATTCCTTGAAGGATTGTATGCACTTTCTCTTGCTGGTTTAATGCTGTTTAATACTTTCCTTGAGTGTTGACAAGTCTGGTCTCTGGCCTGGTTTGTGGCAGTGAGGCAAGCAGAGGTCAAGGAAAGCAGGGTGTGCTATATCACCTTACATGCTCTTGAGTGTTATGAAGGCCAGGTGGGATCACTGCTGAACAGCCTTGACTTACTTTAGTGATAGTCTATGCGTAATCTCCCGTCATTTGTCATCTTCTGAAGGCCATGTGTGTTGGTGTTTGATACCCTACCTGGCTAGGACCTATCAGGAGCCAGAACTGGGACAACACCTGTTGATATCAATCCTGTTGATTGTATTTCTTTCCAGTTGCCAAGATGATCTGGGAGCCAAGGGGACTGAGGCTTCTGAAGCAGGATCAGCCATCAAAGTTATGTAACCTTGCTATATCCAGGCCGCTAGTCTAGGAAACCAAGGAGCAAAGTAGAGACCGGGAGTTTGGACCGGTGTGGCAGCAGCATTGAAGACAAAGTTTTGCCATTGACTTTGACATGTCTAGGATTTGCCTTGGGTGTTTGGTGTCTGAGTGAGTGTTAATGGGAAAGCATTTTACACCAAAATGGGAGGGTGTGGCGGCGCACAGTTGGGGTGCTCACCACGTGATGTGGACTGTAGCTGGCTAGGGAAGGGCTAGCAGTGAATGCAGCTCGAAAATACCCCAAGGGTCATTTTTTTTAAGGGGGAAGGTGTGTGGTGGAGTACCAGGGTGGACTGTGGGGCTATTACAAGCTCCATGGGAGCTTGCTTGCAGAGCAGCAGGGACCCCCTTCTCCCCCCCTTGGAACCAGTTTAAAGGGGAAGGGGGGTGGCAGAACACATCTGGTTGGTGCCTGACACTTTAAGAGCTGGCAGCAGGTATTGCCCCAGCCCTGATGAGCGGCCATTTTAGATCCGGGCCAGCAGAGCCAGAGGCAGCAGTTTGCTGCCTGATGCCGTCCAAGTAACATCTCCTGGTGGAGCTGCTGATCCCCATCTTCCATTTAAAGTGAGCACCCAGTCTCACAAGTCATGTTGTTGGTGTCAACAGGATACCCATGTGCAAGGTCTAAGTGGGAGTCACTCCAGAAGTCTGATGTACATGGCTTTTCTACTTGTCTTTGAGACTTTTATAGCATCTAGCTGGAACTTGACTGTCGTAGAATTCCAGTGCAAGTGCAAATGGCTTATTTATATGGGGGTGGGGAGGAAGAGGAGGCAGGCTGTGATTACACCTTTAACACTGAAACCCAAAAGATATGGGTTCAAAAATTTAGCCACAAAAGACTAAATGGCATTTTTGTCATTTTAACAA